TGTGTACGTTAAATGCACCAAGCAAGCATGCTAGCCAAACTCGACTAACATTGAAGCTAGCGAATTAACGCTGATGCGTTAAATGTCTACAGTGAGTATCAGATCGGAAGATTCCGTAAACTGTCTCACCAAATGTACAAAATCCAAACCTATACTGTAACTTTTTACAATCACATCAAATTGCATAAATGAAATTTTAAAAAATAATTCTAAGAATTATTTAAATTTGCTGAGTCCTTTGACTAAAAGTCGTAATAATTACAAAACCTGTAGAAGAAACGTTTTATACAAAAGAAGAACGTAACATTCGCGTGATAAGGAAAAAAAACTCAAATTTTCCAAAAAAATTGTTGCAAAGTATTAAATGAAGAAACGTGTCGATTAATTCAAGGAATTCGAATACACTCACTATAAGAATCGATAGAATTATTATTTTCAACTGTAGTATGCCATTCAAATAACTGATACATTAATATTTTGTATGTAATAAGAAAACAAAGGTTTATTTATAATCAGGTTCACCTGAACAATACACATAAATTAGTGCATTAGAAACGAAAAATATTGCAAAATGAACGTGAATAAAGAAAAGTAATATACTTGACCTCATTGAGACTTGATGAGTTGTTTTAATTCTGAATCCTTTTTACACTCTAGGCATTTTGTACGTATTGATAGCCTGTTAAAAATTTCTAATATTCTTAAGAACCACTTAAACGTGAAATAAAATTTATTACGCCACATCAGAATGATTATGTCTTATACAATACAATAGGACTTATACATTAATGATTCAACATCGGTAGCAGTTTTAAAGGAGAACGTTTATATTGTAATATTACAAACAATTAAAATATAAATGTTTAATATATACACACTTGTATAAAAAAGAATATTTAAAATACTTTCAATCTTTCGTTGAAAATACAGTAGCTTCAAAAATTATTTTTACATCCCAAGAAAAATTGTCAGTATCTTAAACTATTTGTGTGTTCTACTTATTATATATTATAAAAAGTTTTTACTAAAGACACCTTCATAAAAAACAAATTCATAACAATAAAAATAAAGGCTTCCCGCTTTAAAATGAATGCAAGTGGATTCTTGTACGATTCTTTCTTACAAAATTATAAGAATTTACAGTACTGATAATTTTTCTTGGGATGTATGAATACTTTTTGTAGCCACTGTACCTAATATTTAAAAATCAAGCATCTTGTGATTTTTAATACCGATACATTTAAAGATGAACGGCACAACAATTAATAACTTTCAAAGTGAGAAGTAAGTGCGTTGAAGTTTAAGAAAAGCAAGGACTAAAAGAAACAAGATTACTTGCAGATATACTATTAAAGTATAGCAGAATCTCTATTATTTGCAGGTAGAAGTCATTATGACGTCTATTCAGATAATCGAATTTTTCAAATAACCGAATAACGGATGCAATTATCCATTATTTTTGTTTCTCCATCTTTATCAGCTGTTATTTGAATAACTCTTTTCAATGCTGCTCCTTCGTCAGTCTATCTCAAAATTTTCAAAGAAATGAATCCTTCAAAATAAACAGAGTACCTATACTATAATATGCAAAACCCACTTCAAAAGTACACAGAAGACACAAAAATAATAAAAAGGGGATGAAATTGAAATTATTTTTAGATTCATTTCGTTTATCTTCTTTTCTTTCGTAATTTACTTCATCCTGGTTACAATACTGTTCCCTTATCGATAAATTTCATAATCTTTTAAATTCTCTTATTTAATGACCTCTTAAATATAGTCTTTCGTTTTACGATGTTCCTTATTTATGACATACACACTTGATTTACTACTTCCATGTTCGTCGGATGACTCATTTACAATTTTATCCCGCTCTAAACACTTCTAGAAAGAAAACATAGACGTAATGAAAACATTGTATGTAAATACATTATCCGGATAGTTGTCTCTTAACCGATGACCAACCATCAAATTTTCCTTTAATTGATCGTCCGATTAAACGGTATTCCCATACTTGAGGTTTTACTGTACATTGTGCAAGTACAACACATTTTTCGAACTCGAACGAGAGCAACAGAGACAAGGTCGAGTCAACATCATGTTTACGTTCAATGAACGTGCACAAACAAACGTGACCCGCATTTACGCCCTTGTATACTTCATAAATGAAAGGCATGCGCGACCATTCTAAAATTTGTATGCTCAGTGTGCTCAGGTCAATTTAGAATACGCACGACTCCAATACAAATTAGAATCAAGCCACGATGAAAATTATCTAATAGTTTAATAGACAGTAAACTGTTCTATAGCGATTGAAAAAATATGTAATATTTAAAGAACAAAGAGGCAAAAGAATATACAGAATTTGCGAGAAAAATGCCAGGTATAAATACATAAAATCATAATTGAAATGAGTAAGATTGAACAAAATTTTGTGGAATCACCTCACTAATTTAAGAAACCTTAATGTCTATTGACAAAGTCAATATGTATAACGAAAGTTCCACAGAGTTGTATATATACTGATAACGCTGTAAACTAAACAATAATAATCACAAATATAAACTATACTCAAATAAATAGAAAGTCTATATGAACACAAATTGTACTAATTAATTCTAACTTATAGAAGAATTTGATATTTTAAATTTATTTTTGTATTAAAAAATACTATAAATTCAGGGAATTTATAACTTAGATAATATACGTATAGTACTTTAGTTATAATAACAATAAAATAATTTTTACCAAATTTTTAAAATAGAGAAAGGTGTTGCCTACTGAACACAGTAGTTACAATACTACTTTATATCTTATTAAAAATATTATACCGACTGTTCAGATAACAGGGATTAAACAAAAAATGGCATTGTTATTAATTAGGATACATAAAACAAACCTAATGACTGGTGAAGAAATAAAAAGTAAAAAAAATTGTACAAAAATAAAGCATCTCCATTTCGAAATAAATAAAAGATAATACCTCTAAGTCCTTAGTTACTATTTGTTATTGAAATAATCTTCATTTACAGTCTCTGTTACAACATACGTATAATTAAATATGTATCGATTGGAAGGCAGCATACAAGTAAAACGTTACGTTGTATCACGTTAATTTAATTTACATATATTTACATATGTACTTATGCAGTCACAAAAATGAATATGTGAATGTGGTGTTAGCGGTGCAAAAAAAACTTGGATAACGTGCAATCACATCACCAAATTTGGTTAAATCAGCTGCAGCGGAGGTTTAATAAAGACGAAGATGTCAGGCGAAACGGTAATATCTTGATCGGTAAGCACAACATGCTCACTTTCCAGTTGGCGTATAAAGAAACAAACTCCTACCAAGGAACGATCATTTCACGTGCTATAAAACTGTGGAGTTAATTCGGCACGAAACTGGTATCGCGTTGCAAGACGTGTCCAAACGCCTTTCTTCACTTTTTCACTTAACTGAACTGACGATATTCAAGAACTCAGAAAAAGTCTCATATAAATGTTTTACGAAGGAATTTTGAATAATATCTCTTTTTGAAAAAATCATTGCAAACATTATTTTTCCGGAAGATCGGTAAATTAAATTTATTTAATTTTGAATATATATTTTTTACTGCTTTTAAATGAAATGTTGGTTTCAAATTATATACTGCAACGTGTAAAGTATTAAATAATTACCAAAATTCACTAGGAAGCAAAAATATATTATATTAATGATTATAGGAGGCTAAACCAAATACTTTTAAGATATTCGGTTTCTTCATTTGTAAATCAATTTACCCTTCAAATAGACGTAAAAGTATTAGTATCTATTACTGTATACATCTATTGGTTTATTGAAATCCTAAATATCAACGAAGTTTTTCGTTGTATAATTATACTTTCAAGAAATCATGAATCATTTTTCATCTATTCACACAAAAACTAATGAGTTGAAAATCTTGATAACGATTAATCTACCAATCTGTATATACAAATGTTTCTTTATTTTTTGTTTAAAACCATACTTTTAAAACAATTATGAAAACAACTTTTAGTACTCTCATGTTATTGAACTATAATTTATGCGCATTATTACTAATTAGACGATCATCTAATTATAAGAAATTCTTCTAAAAATACAAAATCTACAAATGTATAATAGGAGGCAATGTTTAAAAACAAAGGAATTTTCGTACTTTTCTATGTGAGATCTCTTACAACAACCAATGTTATCCAATAATGCACGTTAATTGGAGCGTAACTCTATTTTTACCACTGTGAGTATTTAGATCGACTTCACAAGCAAATAGAAAACAATTTCTCGTTAGATCTGGTGAAACTCTGTTCCTTGAATATTAAATTGACAACATTTCTTTTAGTATTAAGAAAATACTATTCTTACATTCTGCATTAATTTTAAGTTACATACTTATTACAAGGTCAATATCAACGAATAACTTGATTAAAAACAAATTATAAACATACCATGATTAGTTTTAATAATCTAGTATCTTTTAATGTAAAATTTAAAAATTGCACAAAAAAAATAATTTTTCGGAAACCAAATAGATTTGCCATTTTCCATTACTATAAATCTTTTTATTGATTCTTTCCACGCATCGTAAACCATACAATAATATTAAAACAGGTACAGACAACGAATACGGTATGGAGCACCAAAATAAAAGGAGAAATGCTAAAATCCGTTAACAGTATCATTATTGTGACGAATGCAATATTACATGACATTTGTGTAACCGCGCCAGACGATATCACATGTCTTTAAAAAAGTAACTTTACCCCTGAATAAAGAATCAAAAAATTCAATTCCTGTTCCTAAAACAAAAAGAAAAAACAAAAAATATTACTCTCTTCATAAGAAGCACGAAACATCAGATTGAGCAATCAAAAATTTATATTTGAAAAAATGTAAATTATAATATCTGAAAATGAAAAGGCACAACTTATAATGTTTTGATTTGGAAATACAAGATATTAATTGCAATTCACCTTACCTAATTAGAGCAACATCTAACGTTTTCGTATTGCACAGAGGTCCTCGTGTTGTTACCAGTTATCATTGATATGTGCCAATTTCCTAGTCACACACACACATACACACACACACACATGTACGCGCAGACGCACCTATTACGATATGTTTAATTTGCACTTTGGCGAGGATCCGTCGCGTGAAAAATCGTGGTGGCACTGTTAATAAGGACGGTTTGTGTTAAAAAAAAAATATAAATCGACGGAAATGTAGGGAAGCACGGAAGTGGCGAGCTGCAGGCTGTATGCCGAGCAGCCACCCTCACGGTAGGCGCGCGAGCCTACTACTGAGCCTACGAGCCTCGCTGGTCTGATTGTCAGCGACGCGCACCCGCACGTTCGCTCAGACCGAAACGTCCCTTATGTACATCTGACGCGATCTCCATCGATCTTTCACGAATTTCTAGGTAAAAAACGGAAGAGTTCTTCTAGAAAACAGTGTAAATACTAAAATTCGACAACTTTCTTTTCTTATTATACCGTAGTATACAATTTGAGCATATTTTCTTGTTTGCAAGTTGTATTTTTCAATCAGTAATACTAGCAATACTGAAAGATGACATCATTTTGATGGAATGACATCAGACGTTCTACGCAACTTTAGGCAACTTTCCTTTTCCTCCAGGAAAATTTAAAAATTGGCGCTTACTAGATTTTCTAACAATAGTCTTCAATTTTATTTGGATAATACATAAATTATAGTGTTTGTATTAACACCTTAACTATCGGTGGTTAAGTAAAAAGTAATGCTTAACTACTAAGGATTTCTGAAGAAATTCTACAATAATCATTTCAAATTACACTTACATCGTGGATGTTACTATATATAATCTAATAATACTTTTTAGGAAAAGAAAATTATTAAGCTCTATTCTAGTATAACATAGTCATTGAGAAATTAATAAATTTTCGGTAGGTAAAATGCTGAAACTTTTGCTACCACGTCAGTCACACAAATGATAGAATTCTTTGTTTAAACTTAAACATGAATTTTTGACACGTATTAAGTTTTACGTATTGAGAGCCAAATTTCTGTTAAGTTTTGTGAAATGTAAGAAGGCTGAAAGATTAGACACTATGATAAATCTTGATTTTTCATTTCGTGATTTATCAAATACCTTACTTTGACTTTGAAAATTCTTAGGGTTGTCGATTTATCAGTTAACGAATTAAATATTATTAACAGATAATTGTACAGGCGATAAATAACTATTCAAATGAAAATAAAAAGGTTTACTGAAAATCAGAATTCTCAAATGTAATTAAAAATTTTCGTTCAATAAACACATTATTAAATATTAGTAATCTACTATTTTTATTCTAAATAGTAATGAAAAATCATGTACAAAATGGTGTTTATTACGCAACTGAAAGTATTATACACTTAAAGTGATATTATTATAATACAGAAATTCTTATATTTTCTTAGGAAAACCAAACATCAAACATCTTAAATTCGAAATAAAGTAATAAATATGATACTAATAAATCTGACAAATGCATTACTATTTAACATGTGAGATAGAAATCTTAATTACCCATTTGAATACAAATTTATTTAAATAATCTCCAGTACCAATTGTTACATTGGTAAGAAATGAATATCTACTCGAGCATATTAAGTTTACTGTCAACCACGTCATAAGGTTTAGTCAGGAATGGCTCCTATCGCAAAAATAATAGTAATAATGAAAATTCGCCAGGTCAGCTCAAGTCTTAGTGTAATAATAATTATTTAATTTAACAATAATAAAGTATAATAAAAATTAATTGTAAATGATTTTCAAACATAACTTAAAATATATAAATGCAGAGTATTTAAAATGAAATACAATGTACGTGAAAAATAAAATTGAAAAAATAAACTTCGACGAATTAAGTATACATAACAGTACTGAACAGCAATTTGATATATAAATGTGAACCAACGCTGATCCAGACATTATGAGGCATAGTTCGATAAATACAATACATTTATTTTTTGTGTTTTATAAATTCAACTACGAAAAGAAGATTAAATCTTCGTTTTATGAAAAACCAGTTGAACTTTTAATCCATTCTATACATAGAACTCTAATATTATCGATGTGGTAATCATCTACTAAGGTGATTGTCTAACATTGTTAACCAAACTAATATTCCTCTTATCAATAATAAATTATAAAATTAATTTACAATATTCTTTTCTTTATTACGGATAAAAAATGAAGGTAGCTCAAAATAAACTATTCTAAAAATTTACCAAAAATTGGTACCCGGATCTATTTACAAAGATTTTTATTTATATATTTCACTCTGTAGTTAGAAATATTTTGATATATATATATATGGTTGTGGTTTATGGATGGACAATGTATGCTACATGTATTTTGTAGTTCAACGGGTAAGTTTTACTTGTTTTTAATTCCCTGTAATTATTTACAATTTACAAACAAAAATATGTTATTTATTACATAACGATTTGGAGGAATTATTTTGGTATCGTTCATATCATCAATTATTTTTTAATATTTTGCAATTTTTTAAAGTAATGATATTTCTGAATTTTATTTTATTTTGTCTGTACTTTTATTTGAACTTTCATCTTGAGAAATTATACTACTTTAGTCATTGTAAGTTGTATTATTTAATTTTAAATAATATCTGAAGGAAATTGGGGCTATTCGAAAATTTAAAATATTCATATATTTTGACAAATTTAATGGTAGTTTTCATTACAGTTATTAAAAAACTCTGTTAACGATAAAACGATGCCAAAATGTGTATAAATTAAAATAAATATGAATTAAGATTGATTTTTTAATGTCGTGATATTTTTAATGTAACATTTTTTATTTCACATTTAATTTAATAAAACAATAAAACATAAACATTTTTCCAATAACGCTGAATGAAATTTGATATATAATACATTATCATTCTAAAAGAAATAATCCTGAACATGGGCATTATTCGTAATGAGACCAAACAAATGAAATAAATAACGTATACCACAACAGAAAATTTTCAGTTATACTTAAACGAAAATTTGGTATTTGAAATTCCTTTTATTATACACGAAAGTACTCGTTATCATCTGTTATTTCATGATAATTTAAATATTAACTATTTTGATATTAAAGAATCTGAATTAAAAATGTTTAAAGAAATCATTTTAACAATTCATTAATTCATCAGTATTAGGACTGAAAGACAAACGGTATTAATATCGTCGCTTAAAACAGCTGTTATATGAAATAAATCAACAGTTTGTCTAAATAAAAGAATGTTATTAAAAACAAAAGCTCAAACTACAACTCTAAATTGTTATTTCTCATTGTAATTTTGAATTAAATATCATCCATTTTA